CCTGAACAAGCTAATCAAGGTCTTACTAGGTATACTTGAAACATCCAGGCAGGTTGTTGAGGCAAGTTGGAGCTAAACCCTGCAGGGACACCAGCCCTCCAGAACCGAGACTGGTGACCCCTGATCTAGACAATAAAGAAATATATTTTAAATATAAAAGTTGCTTACAGTTGATTGGCTGTTTTTTTCTGATAACGCTTTGTGAACGTTTCTCATGTGAAAATGGAATAAAACTCAGTTCAGGTTTGACAAGTTTGATGTCGTTATAGGGAAGTATTTGCGGCAAAAGCAACTGGAATGATCAGATGTCAGAACAATGACTCAGACTCAATAAATAAACAATTCAACTGTCAAGAAAAGGAAAGTTCCAGTCGATTTACAAGCCTTCAACTTTCAGCTTCACATAGAACCAAACCCAACTTAAACTAAATAAATAAAGTTATCATTCAGTATCACCATTGTGCTTGTTCTTGACCAGACTTCACCTAATAGGTGCCATGTGTTGGTTCTCAACTGCTGTATATGAATATTAAATTCATTATTTCCATAGAAATGCATATCCAATGTGATCTAATGAAGAGATTCTGTGTAAGTTTAGTCCAAATAATTGTATTAATAGTAGTATAGTATATGATAGTATATTATATTTACTAATATAGTATTAGTATTTATTAAAAACACATACAGTACCATTCACTCAAACAAACACATTTTTGTTGCTTGTTGAAATTAATGTTTTTAAAATGAGCTGAATCAACACAATTCTTGATTTTGTTTTTGGGACAACTTAATTGTTTTCAACTTAATTTTTCGTTCTCCCCAAAAAAGATATTTAAAATAAACAAAACAATTTGATGTCTTTTGACTGCTTTTTAAAATAACTACATTACACAATATTTGTACTTTTACTTTCAGTACTTGAGTAGTAAATTTTGAAATAAACTACTTGCAACACTTAAGTACAAAAAAATGTTGAATACTTTAGTTCTTCCATTTAAGTATGGTGCTTAAAGAGCACTTCTACTTCTACTTAAGTCACTTTTTTAATAGAGCGATTGTACTTTTACTTAAGTCTGGGTCTCTAGTACTTTATGCATCTCTGATAAAATGCGATGGAAACACATTTAGTGAATAAATTCCAGCATAGCCACCCTCACAGCTATGAAGGACAGTGCAGAGCCAGAAAAGAAATTATAGTAATTTCATTAAAGCAGACATGCGGTTTGTCAGATTTTTTTTTTTTTAGATACATTAAAAATGGTTTAATTTGATCAAACACAGTCTCATTTAATTTATATTAGCATAACTTTTGAACACAGATGAATATCAGTAATTTGCTCAGTCAATTCAGCGCAGCCAAACGTTCAAAAGATTGTCTGATCTCATATTCAAAAGAATTGGATAAACCTTTAAGAAGGTGCTTGGGATGAGAATGATTGGTGTTTGTAAACTTAAAGGCAGTTCTTATGTATTAGTAATGCTATAGAATGGAAATACATCATTTGAGACAAACATTATTTTCCATGCTATATGACAATAAATTTACTGTATAAACCGTATGTATGTATGTATAAATATAAATGTAATCTAAATCAAAGTATTAGAAGCACTTTTTGTTTAATAACTCCTATACTTCCTTTTGATTTCTCAGAACAAAGTAATGGAAAATATTATTGGAGAAATTAAAATTATTCACTCCAATTTGGGACATATTTTTGGTATTAGTGAGAACATTGTCACAATCATAAAAAATTAAATGAAAGGAAACTACAAAGTTTTCATAATACTAATAACTATTTTTTTCTTCATTTTTATTTTTACCAATTTAGTAATTTAAAAGATAATTTCTCAATCCTGTTTGTATCCTTATTGAGTTGATTAAACCAGGCGTAGCAGAAAAGGAAAACATCTAGAAGTGTTTGGATTCAAGTGGAGGTGGCAGGGGTGGGATGGTTGTCATCAGGGCCATCTGATCTCATTTTCATTAGAATTGGATAAACCTTTAAGAACTAGAGAGAAAATGCAATACTGTACTTCTTGCAATGCTGTATTGAGTGGTGCTTGGGCTGAATAAAACTAAATTAAAACTAAATTAAAAATAATTACAAAAGGGTTCTCCAACAAAAACATTTTAAGCATTAGGTTTTCAATTTTTATTTTAGAGGTTAAACCTTACTTATTGCCACTCCCAAAACTAGAAACTCCCATGTCCAGCCCATGAAGAATGATTGGTTCAGATCCTCTATAAATTAACAAGACCTTCACACCATGGGTAAAGAAAATTTGGTAAGTCTTCTAACTCTTCTTTTCAACTTTAAATAGGTATCTGGGGATCATTTACAATTGGTGTTTGTAATCCTAAAGGCAGTTCTTATGTATTAGTAATGTATACCAGATGACAAACATTATTTATTGTCTGTGTTTCATGCCAATGTATAAATGAAAATTTAATCTAAATTTAAGTATTGGAAGCACTTTAATTGTTTAATAACTCCTACTATCTTTTGTTTTCACAGAAAAATGAAAAATTTTATTAAAGAAAATTTTTTTTTTTACATTTTTGTACAAATTATAAGTATTAGTGAGAACAATGTTAATATCATAAATTGTTTTGAAATGATAGGAAAATACAAATTTATTGAAGTAATGAAAAATGTTCACTCCCTTTTTGGACATATTATAAGTATTAGTGAGAACAATGTTAATAACATAAATTGTTTTGAAATGATAGGAAAATACAAATTTATTGAAGTAATGAAAAATGTTCACTCCCTTTTTGGACATATTATAAGTATTAGTGAGAACAATGTTAATAACATAAATTGTTTTGAAATGATAGGAAAATACAAATTTATTGAAGTAATGAAAAATGTTCACTCCCTTTTTGGACATATTATAAGTATTAGTGAGAACAATGTTAATAACATAAATTGTTTTGAAATGATAGGAAAATACAAATTTATTGAAGTAATGAAAAATGTTCACTCCCTTTTTGGACATATTATAAGTATTAGTGAGAACAATGTTAATAACATAAATTGTTTTGAAATGATAGGAAAATACAAATTTATTGAAGTAATGAAAAATGTTCACTCCCTTTTTGGACATATTATAAGTATTAGTGAGAACAATGTTAATAACATAAATTGTTTTGAAATGATAGGAAAATACAAATTTATTGAAGTAATGAAAAATGTTCACTCCCTTTTTGGACATATTATAAGTATTAGTGAGAACAATGTTAATAACATAAATTGTTTTGAAATGATAGGAAAATACAAATTTATTGAAGTAATGAAAAATGTTCACTCCCCTTTTAGACATATTATAAGTATTAGTGAGAACAATGTTAATAACATAAATTTTTTTGAAATGATAGGAAAATACAAATTTATTGAAGTAATGAAAAATGTTCACTCCCTTTTTGGACATATTATAAGTATTAGTGAGAACAATGTTAATAACATAAATTTTTTTGAAATGATAGGAAAATACAAATTTATTGAAGTAATGAAAAATGTTCACTCCCTTTTTGGACATATTATAAGTATTAGTGAGAACAATGTTAATAACATAAATTTTTTTGAAATGATAGGAAAATACAAATTTATTGAAGTAATGAAAAATGTTCACTCCCCTTTTAGACATATTATAAGTATTAGTGAGCACATTGTTAATATCATAAATTTTTTTGAAATGATAGGAAAATACAAATTTATTGAAGTAATGAAAAATGTTCACTCCCCTTTTAGACATATTATAAGTATTAGTGAGCACATTGTTAATATCATAAATTTTTTTGAAATGATAGGAAAATACAAATTTATTGAAGTAATGAAAAATGTTCACTCCCTTTTTGGACATATTATAAGTATTAGTGAGAACATTGTTAATATCATAAATTTTTTTGAAATGATAGGAAAATACAAATTTATTGAAGTAATGAAAAATGTTCACTCCCTTTTTGGACATATTATAAGTATTAGTGAGAACATTGTTAATATCATAAATTTTTTTGAAATGATAGGAAAATACAAATTTATTGAAGTAATGAAAAATGTTCACTCCCTTTTTGGACATATTATAAGTATTAGTGAGCACATTGTTAATATCATAAATTTTTTTGAAATGAATTTTTTTATAATAATAATTAGTTTATTCTTAATTTTAATTTTAATTTTTATTGTTCGGCAATATAAAAGACAATTTCTCAATCCTGATGTACCCATATTGAAATGATTAACCCTCCTGTCGTGTTCATATCAAACCCTTTACTTTAGTGTTCCCGGTTAAAATTGACCGGTCTGCTTTAACTGCTCTTATTTCAGCACAAAAATCATTTTTCTCCACCAAATTTTTATTCAACATTCTTTAGCTGTGAACAATGTCTCAAAATAGTGTTTAACATGAATTTACAGAATTAGGCATAAAATAACTGCAACGAAAATAAAAAATAAGCGCTGAAAATATATTACAAAATGAACAATAGATGACAGAAATCAAAGTACTTTTACAAGTAACTTTTACTGTTTTATTACTAATAGACAGCTGGCTAAATAACTTTCTTTCTTCTGACCAAAGAAATTGAAATTATATCCATCTGAATGATTTATCAACCAGCAAACACAGCAGAAATTATGACTATAATTTCTTATGACTACACTAGCAGTGGAATTTACTGGGATGTGATGGGGCTTGATCATAATCAAGGGACTTGATCAAAGGTTGATCATATTCTCTTCTGAAAAAAGAAGAGTATCTTTTTCAACAAAAAAATGATCACATTACAGCCAACATCCCACAAAAAGCACTTTTTGTGCATTTCAAATCACAAAATCCAAAAAGCCACACACCATATATTTTTGACTGCTTTGAATGGATAAATTTTTTTAAACGTTTTTCCATATTAAAATATGGTGGGTCTTGAGATTGAATTACTTGCCTAGGTGAGTCCCGGAATAAAAAAGTTTGGTAATCCCTGTGTGTGAAGATATGATACACTGTTTTATCAGGAAGTTAATTCACGTTCGAGGATCCAACACTTTCATATCAATTCATAACTAATTAGTTTAACCAACATGACATTTAACCAACACGACAGGAAGGTTAAACAAGGCGTAGCAGAAAAGGAAAACATCTAGAAGTGTTTGGGTTCAAGTCGAGGTGGCAGGGGTGGGATGGTTGTCATCAGGGCCACCAGGCACAGGATTAAGAAATTGTACAAACCATATTTTATTAATATACTTTAATAAAATTTTCCATTTTCCAAATTTTCCATCATTGAGCAACTGCCCGGAGGGAGAACTGTCTTGCCCACCTTTAAATCTAGTAAGTCCTTTAAAAAACATTGTTAAAAGAACCTGAGTAGATCTTTATTTAGATTAAATTGTAGCTTAATTTGATCACACAAAGCTATAACTAACTAATAGACACATTCCACATGTAATTCAAAGGTGTCTTATGTTGGTCTGGAATAATTAGAAGCTTCAATTGGATGTTGGATGAATGAAATTGAAAGCTTTGGTAAGTACCTTCACCATTATTTACTACTGTTTAGAACAGAAATGCTTTGTCAATAGCCTTGTGGTTACGTGTTGACATTTAGCACTGAGGTGTTCGATTCCCGGCTTAAGGTCCTTTCCCAATCCTTCCCTTTTGTCTGCTCCCCACACTTTCCTGTCTATACTCTCCACTGTACCATCAAAAAAAAAAAAAAAAAACAGAAAAGCTTTCATCACAATTAAATTGCCTTCAAACTGCATGTCCAAAATCAGGAATTTTGTTCAATGATGCGATGTAAATTAAAAAAAACAATTGAAATAATAGTAGACCCCAAAAGAGTTGGTGATTAGAGTCCTGTTATTATTCAAGGTAACTTTAACTAAGTGGATACCTTGAAGTACCTTGATTGAATGCCGACTTGGCAAGCTTCCAGGCAAAAGGTTATACATTTTTACAGAGGCAGACTGTTTGGAGTAAGCCAGAACATTATATGTTGTTGTTTTATCAAGCAGTTTTGGAAAGCTTGTATGAGAATCTGTCAGGCAAATTAAAATAGCATTCTGTGCGTCTTAACAAAGAAAGTTATGGGTGTAAAAAAAAGTACACATCACTTCAATCGATTTTTGAGTTGTTGGTTTTTACAATTACTAGAGCAGTAACAAGTGATTCAAGTTCATTTACAATGCGTGAATTACTGCCTAGAGTTCCTTTATAAAGAGGATATTTAATTGTATTCTATTTATTTAAATTTATTACACCCATGACTACAGACATGCCTGTATCTTTTGTCATTTAAAGTAGCAAATTGTTAAGATGGTACTTTTAAAATGTCTCTGTTGTTGTTGTTGATGCTGTTATTGTTGTCTATTTTTGTATGTGTCTGCTTTTTTGTATCCTGCAGCTGGACTCCAATACAAATTTCCTGTAATGCACAATAAAGTGTAACTCTCAAACTCAAAGAAAGATATTAATAGAACCATCAATGCCAGAAAAGATCCTTTACTTTTATGTAAAAATATATAAAACTTGTCTAAATCTCTCTATCACATTTTTTCTCTCTCTCTATCATGCACAAAACAACTAGAAACCTCTCCAGACTGCATATACGTCACTTCTGGGTCAAGTACTAAGTCCAAGACCTCCACTGGTTCGATGGCCAGATCCGACTCAGTGGAGTGCAACACAAGTAACAAGTCCAAGACCTCCACTGGTTCGATGGCCAGATCCGACTCCGTGGCGCGCAACACAAGTAACAAGTCCAAGACCTCCACTGGTTCGATGGCTAGATCGGACTCAGTGGAGTGCAACACAAGTAACAAGTCCAAGACCTCCACTGGTTCGATGGCTAGATCAGACTCAGTGGAGTGCAACACAAGTAACAAGTCCAAGACCTCCACTGGTTCAATGGCTAGATCAGACTCAGTGGAGTGCAACACAAGTAACAAGTCCAAGACCTCCACTGGTTCGATGGCTAGATCAGACTCAGTGGAGTGCAACACAAGTAACAAGTCCAAGACCTCCACTGGTTCGATGGCTAGATCAGACTCAGTGGAGTGCAACACAAGTAACAAGTCCAAGACCTCCACTGGTTCGATGGCTAGATCAGACTCAGTGGAGTGCAACACAAGTAACAAGTCCAAGACCTCCACTGGTTCGATGGCTAGATCCGACTCAGTGGAGTGCAACACAAGTAACAAGTCCAAGACCTCCACTGGTTCGATGGCTAGATCCGACTCAGTGGAGTGTAACACAAGCAATGAGAAAAAACACTCTGCTCGCTGCAGCTAGCCACAAAAACTGTGTCTTATGTGACTATGTGACATTGCTAGGTGAGTTAAGATATGTGATTTAAAATACATATTTAACTCGTAACCATTTAAATAATGTTGTGTTAAACAGATTCCAAAAATGAATATTTTCTATTTGAATGTAGTTTGAGTTTGTAAAAATGAACAGAAACTTTGCAAAGATGAAGTCAAAAGTAAATTTAAGTTTTTATTAACAGAATCAAAACGGCAATACAATAACTATTAAAATCTAAGTTAAGATTTTTCTCCCTTTTGCAGGAACATGGAACCCCATGGTCATGCTAGAGATTGTCACCTGTGCTCACAAAGTGAACTTGCCGTCCACTGGCTGATGGGAAGTCAAGACACAACCCACCAGAAAAATTCTCATTTAGTTGAGAAAGAAATGGTGTTTAATCATTTGTCTTCCAATAAATGATGAACATGCCAATGTGTTTGTGCTCATTTTAACAGAGAACATCTTTTACAATAAATGCAATAAAAAATGTCACCTTATTGCAGTCTTCAGGAAAAAATATAATCTCCAAAAGTGAATAAGGTTGTAATCAGGTTTGCACGTGGAGAAACTAGATTTCAAAACTAATTTACCTTGTACACTCTCATAATAAGGGAGTTTTAGTTACATAAATAACCTCTCAGTGATAATACAGTATTTCTTAAAAAGTACCATTAGTGTGACAAAGAATTTCAATAATATAAAGAACCTTTATCCACTGTAAAGAAACTTGTGGAAACTTCATATGCACAGTATATGCTATGTAAAGTTACTAATTATAAATTTACAGTGTTTAAAACGAAACTTTCAGGTAGAATTACCACTTAAATTGAACTTAAAATGAACATATTTTCAATTCAAAACAAATGTACATGTTGATTATTTACATCTATGCTGCACATTTATTCCCTCATTTATATACTCACATATACTCTTAAAAACCTATATTATTAACCATGATGACAATCCAGCAGAAGGAAAATATCCATTTCATTTATGAGACGTTGCGTGGTGTTTCTGCTGACTGTCCACAGGACGGAGACAAATGCACACTAAATAAAATGAAATGAAAGAATAAATCACAGTTTTATCAGGATACAAAACAATATAGGAATTTTCAGACATAGCTTTTTTTTTCTTGGTTCTAGTCCAAATGTCTAAAAGTTTTTAATTTAAGAAGCATTTCCAAGCAAATACACTTGAAAATGCTTTATTTTTTAGAAATGAGTCAAACTTAACTCATTTTAAACCAAAAAAAAAAAAATTTCATTTACTGGTCACACTTTTAAATTTTCAATTCTTCATTCAGCATAAATTCATGCTCGTTGAGATTAGTTTATAGACTGAGTTACCAAGAACTATCAATGAACATCTGTATTTTCATTAACAAAGATTAACAAATAAGAATAAAAACTTTAAAAAAGCTATTATCCTTTGTTTGTTCGTGTTAGTTAATAAACGAACGAGCATTAACAAATATATTCTTATTGTAATGTGTTACGTTTTTTATTATCCCACTGGCAGATTACTTAAGTTGTCTTAATGAAACCTTTGACTTATCTTCTGTAAAAAAAAAAAAATAGTTTTACTTGCCTAGAAAATCTTCTTGATTAAAGATTAAGATATTTGGATTAAGATATAAACAAGACAAAACTTTTAAGAAAGAATTTAATTGCAGTTGTGATAGTTAAAACCTAAAAGTTTTATACAACATGAATCAATTGATGAAATTTAAAGACTTTGTTTGTTTTTAGACCCTGAATCAATATTCCAGTCTTCATTTTAATAAAACTGGTAAATGAAATGAAAGATTAAATCATACAGTTTTAAGGATACAAAAAGATATAGGAATATAGGATATATGAGTTTTTGTCTTGGTTCTAGTCCAAATGTCTAAAAGTTCTTAAATCAAAAAAAGCATTTTCTTGTAAATACACTTGACATTTTTTTATTTTTATTTTTTTTTAGAAATAAGTCAAACTTAACTTATTTCAAACCAAAAAAATGATTCATTTACTGGTCATACTTTACAATAAGGCTTTATCAGTTAATGTATTTACTAAGACGAGCTAAGAATGAACAATACTTGTACAGCACTCATTAGTCAGTTCAACATTTGCTGATGCATTATTAACATCCAAATTCATGCTAGTTAAATTAGTTTATAGACTGAGTTACCAAAAACTATCAATGAACAACTGTATTTTCATTAACAAACATTAACAAATATGAATAAAAACTGTAACAAATAAATTGTCCATTGTTTGTTTGTGTTAATAAATGAACGAGCATTAACAAATATATTCTTATTGTAATGTGTTACTATTTTTATTACCCCACTGGCACATTATTTAAGTTGTCTTAATGAAACCTTTGACTTATCTTATGTAAAAAAAAATAGTTTTACTTGCCTAGAAAATCTCCTTGATTTCAAATTTTTAAGATATTTGGACTAAAAACAAGACAAAACTTCTAAGAAATAATTTAATTGCAAGTGTGAAAGTTTTACCTAAAAGTTTTATACAACTTTTTGAGATCAATTGAGATCAATTGATGGAATTTGACCACTTTCTGTTTGTTTTTAGACCCAGAAACAATATTCCAGTCTTCATTTTAATAAAACTGATTACAAGTTATCTACATGCTGTTGATAGACATACATGTCAGACCAAGTACTTCTTCTCAACAGAATATGCTCAATAAAAGTCATACAAATGTAATAATGGGTGGACCAGCATTAACAGATTCATAAAATCTGATGTGCTCATTCGGGGATCAAGGTGTGAGAGTCACTGCTGCCACAGATATAAGTGGATATGAGAATATTAAAGGCCTTCTGAAAGCGAGGATAGAAGAAACCGTAGATCAACGGGTTACAGGTGGAGTTAAAGTATCCAAACCAAACCAAAGCATCAAAAACATGAACAGGAGTCGAGAAATTGAGGAAAGGATCAACAGCGGTGGCGGTAAAAAAAGGCAGCCAGCAGAGATAGAAAACCCCCATGACAATGGCCAGAGTTTTAGCTGCTTTTCCTTCCCTCTGAGCAGAGCTTTGGCTCTTCAACCCTCCAGTCACTCTTTCTGACATAACCTTTGCATGTTTTCGTGCAACATGGAAGATTTTCATATACAGAGAGCTCATGATTGTGCAAGGAAGAAAAAATGTGAGAAGTGAACATATAAGACCCCATTGCTTGTTAAAAAACAGAACACAACTTCCCACACAGTAAACCTGCATGATAAAAGTCTCCAAACCAATTCTGTTTACCCCGGAAAAAACAACAGAAAAGCTGTACACAAATGAAAACAGCCATGTGAAAACAGTGAATACAATTACAGTGTTGTTTGTGACCCTCATTCTGTATCTGAGAGGGTCACAAATGGCCCAGTACCTGTCCACAGATACTAAACTGAGATGTATTAAAGAGGAGATGCTGAAAGTCATGTCCAAACTTGAATGAACCTTACACACAACATCTCCCAGATACCAGCAGCCTTCAACAGATCGCACCATGCTGTACGGCATGACCAAAGAGCCCAGCAGACAATCACTGGCAGCCAGAGAGCGAACGATCAGATGAGTTGGAGACTGAAGCTGTTTGAAGTGAGAGATGGAGATGATGATCAGCAGGTTCCCGAAAACCGTAGTAAGGATCATCAGCACCATGAAAGCATACATGGTCACTGTGAGTGCAGTGAGACGCTGAGTTCTTGGACAGGAGTCCGACAAAAGTGGATAACAGAGAAGCACATTCTCAGAGTGAACATCAGTGTCATTTGAGGTCATTATTATCTGGTATGCACAATCAAAACACGATATTTCCTTTGCGAATGCAAAAAATAAACGCACACAGATCTTGCAGAAACTCTGAAAGCAATCAACCACATTTAGATAGAGACCGAAATACAAAAAAATAATCATATATACAGGTCATGCATGTATAGAACCACATGCACAAACTCAGCAGCTCAGGTCAAGCTTTATATCAGGTTCCAAAACAGGTAACACCCTTATTCATGAATAAATTTGAATATGCTAAAACTGGAAAAGTAACTGCATTCTCAGAAATAAAGATAAGAGAGCTGTCGCTGGGGCGATATCTTTCCTAAATGGTCCATATTTATACCTCAAAGGTATAATAGTGTACATTTAGGAATTTTTTAGCTACTAATACTGTGTGAACAATTGTGAAACCACTATGGACAATTTAGGTAGCTTTTGAAAAGATAGCACCCCAGTGACAGAAATGCCATAATGGTTATAAATATGTCTGGGCAAAGTAATTTTTTTTGTTAATCGCATTATAAACTATAGTCGATTCAATATTAATCCTCAAAATGTATTTCTTATATTGTTGAATGGCTCTGACTAACATGGATCTTAGAATTATTTATCTTCCCCGCTAGATGTCACACTCTTACTTACCTTACTTAATGTTACCGTGAAGACTTTAACATTGTGAATGCAGGTTGTGAACTCTTAACGTTAACAGCACTTTAACCAAAAAGGCAGTGGTATGGATGCATTTCAGATTTCGTAAACACGACTGTGTTTAACTCTTCCAATCGGTGACAATCTGGGCCAGTCAGATAACAAATAACGATTTAATTTTCCACAGTGGTGCTGATAATAGAGCTCTCATATATAAACGCATCATTGGTTGACACGGCAGAGGTAAGGATCCAAGTGCAGTTTTAATGAAATTAGTCGTACAAGCAGGCAATGGTCAATACAGGAGCAAATAAGAGCATAGAGGAAATCCAAATAGTAATAAATAAACAGGGGTAAGGTTGGGACAGGCAGCGAAACAGCATACAACAATAAACAAAGCGAAGGTCAAAAGCACGGCAGCTAAAATAAAGAAACTCTAAGAACACTCGCTACAACAAAAAGTCAGCAATGAAGCAGTGTGTGTGTGTGTGTGGTGTATAAATAGTCCAAATGATCAGCAATCACACGCTTCAGCTGCGTGCTTTTCATTAACAGTGATCGACAACTGGTGTGTGTGAAACAGCATGTAGGGATTTGTAGTTTTTTAAACATGGATCTTATAATTATTTGTCTTTCCCGATAGGTGTCACATTCTTACTTACCTTGCTCAATGTTAACGTGAAGACTTTAACATGGTGAATACAGGTTGTGAACTCTTAACGTTAACAGCACTTTAACCAAAAAGGCATTGGTATGGATACATTTCAGATTTCGTAAACACCACTCTGTATGTTTAACTCTTTCAGACGGTGACAATCTGGGCCAGTCAGATAACGGTTTTATTTTCCACAGTGGTGCTGATAATGGAGCTCTCAAATATAATATAAATTTGCATTGGTTGCCACAACAGAGGCAAGGATCCAAATGGAGTTTTAATAAGATTAGTCATACAGGAGCAAACTAGAGCATAGAGGTAGTCCAAATAGTAAACAATAAACAGATGTAAGGTGACGAAAAAGCATACAAAAATAAACAAGGCTAAGGTCAAAAGCACGGCAGGCAAAGCAGAAACACTACAAACACTCGCTACAACAAAGAGCCAGCAACCAGTGAATGCCATGAACCAGTGTGTGTGTGTGTGTGTTGGATAAAAAGTCAGCAATTACAGGCTTCAGCTGTGTGTTTTTATCAGCAGTAATCGGCAACTGGTGTGTGTGAAATGACATGATGGGATTTGTAGTTCGTTCAAAAAGTGACATATATAGTTTACCAGTGATCTACCAGGACTGGATCGCTGGTGATCGTGACCAAAAAGATATATATTAGGCTTCCACTGAGCCACCGATTGACAAATTGGTAGCTAGGTAACAGTGTGACAATGTCATTCACACACCACAATCACAGTTGTCTAAAGCGGCCAATGACACAGAACAGTTTGTAATCATACTGTACCTGGCTCACTTAGTGAAGTTTATGTATAAACTAATTTCGAGAGGATCACGTGCCTATGATTGCTAGCGGCTGGATCCGCATTATGCAATTCACTACGATCCAATCAGATGACTCCTAAACTACTATAAATACCCTGGGTTTCATTCCACTGCTATCTTTGTTTTGAAGAGTCCCCCCTTCCACCCCTACTCCTCCTTCTTAGATGGGTGACACGGTGGCACAGTGTGTAGCACTGTTGCCTCACAGCAAGAATGTCTCTGGTTCCAGGCTTTACCAAACCAGCAGACAATTCTGTGTGGAGTTTGCACTTCTCCCCGTGCTCACGTGGGTTTTCCCACTGCCTGAAAACATGCAATTAAGTTAATTGAATAATCTAAATTGGCACCATAGATATGCTTCTAGTACGTAGTTATCTTCAAGAGCAATCACTTACTGTTCATTGGTTACTAAAGCAGGGGAGTTCTCAAGATCTACCTGAGCTCAAACTCCCCTCCCGCCTTGCAACGGGAGGGAGCCCTGGGCTCAAGGATCTCATGAGCTCAGGGCTATCTCCTGGGACAGCATGCCAAACAAGCTTTTATAATTAATCATCAGCTAAGTGTGAACTCTTGAAAAAAATATAACTGAAGCCAAACTTGACTGTTCTTATTCTAAAGAAATTTGACCACTCTTTTAAGCTATCCATTTTTACATTATTAGGCTACTGAAGTGGTATTTGACATGAATGTGTGGTTCCTATTTTTTTTTTTTATTTACCATTTGTAAACTGATGTTTAACCTATTCAGTTTATAAATATCAATGAAGTGAAGTTTATTCATAAACTAATTTCGAGAGGATCACGTGCTTATGATTTATCACGGCCAGTCTCGCATTTGCTAATCACTATCTTCCAATCATATGAGCCCTAAGCTACTATAAATAGCCTCAGTTTTCAGTTCACCTTATCTTCGTTTGGAAGAAACCCCCCTCCACCCCTATTCTCCTCCTTTACCTGTGATTGGGCGGCACGGCGGCCCAGTGGTTAGCACTGCGAGCCACACAGCAAGAATACTACCGGCCCTAGTTCCATAGGACCGGTGGGTGTTTCTGTGAGGAGTTTGTATGTCCTCCCCGTGTCCGCGTGGGTTTTCCCCGGGTTCTCCGGTTTCCTCCCACCATCCAAAGACATTCAACATACATAACAATCAAGCTTGTCTAATCCCTTGCGTTCCCTTAGCTACAGCGGCAGGGGAGTTCTGAGATCCACCGAGCTCGGGCTCCCCTCTTGCTCTGCCAACGGGAGGAAGCCCCGGGCTCGAGGAGCCCTTGAGCTCGGGGCTCTCTCCCGGGACAGCATGCCAAATAAGCTTTGTAAATCATCAGCTAAGTGTGAACTCTTGAAATCTGTATTCAAGTAATCGAGAATCAAAAGCTTGTTCCATACCACAGTTACTATACTTTCGTCTGCGTACCCCCCCCCCTTCTTCACTTTCATCCGTGAACCGCACCACCACTTCCCCGCACTCTTCATTTTCATCCCCAAACACCACACTACCACCTCTCCCCTCCATAGGTACTGTAAAACCTCGGCAGCAAACCGACCCAGTGCATGCTTAAGGTCCTTGTTCGATGAAGCCAAGGGAACAACGTCGTCTGCGAATAACAGAGATGAAATCCTGTGGGCCCTGCACCGGACCCCCTCCAGACCTCTGTTCCAAATTGCAGAGACCGTCCAAAGGGAATGTGCAGAATAAATTTTTTGAAGAGCGGTGCGGTGTTGTTGCGCACTTACTGAAGAGCGGTGTTGTCGCGTGCGTGCTGATCAGCTGTGTTGTCGCACGCGTACTCAAGAGCGAAGTTGTCGCGCGCCTACTGAAGGGCGGGGCCGAGGGTGTGTCGCGTCGCGGGGGCACTTTTGATCATTTTGAAAGGGCACTTTCTATCCAAGACTAAAAAGGGCATGTGCACTGCACAGGTTGAGCCCTATGTGTGCACGTGCCTGGTTCTGTTGGTTGGTTTACGCCCCCAACTGCTGACCACATGTAGCTTGTTAGCCATAGTTCATAGGAACGTAAGAAGCATTAACATATCATCACAGCCAGATTTTTGCTCTTTAGGTTACACAGATTTTGCTCTACATGTAAACGCATCAACCTGCTTAATTGTTTCGAGTTTAATTGACTTCATCAATTGTTATATTTGACATAGGCCTATACATCTGCAGAACTCCAGCCAAAGAAATAAGGTGATTTTGTTTCAAAATGGCCTTTTTATGAATGAGCATTGGAAAGCAATGTTTTTTTATATAGATATGTAATGAAAATGACGCCAACAATAACAGGAATTTGAAAAATGTGATTTGTTTTTAGTTTTAAAACAAAGTCTGATGTCATGATACGGCATACCAACTAGTCCATGTGAATAATTGTGTGAAATGACTAAAACTCATATTCAGAAACTGTAAATTCATCATTTGCAGCAATCAATCACGTTACATCTTTCACAAATATCACTCAAATACTGCATACACCACAGTTATGATGCAATGTTTGTGTTTAGTGTACAACTCTACTCAGGAGGCTTATTATTATTTCACACTTTTAATGGCTGTGTGACTCTCAATAGGCTCACACTGTTGAATGTCATTCATCCAGGTTTATTATGAAACAGATCCCAAAGTGATTTACTGTCACATCTCACATCAAACACAGACACACACATGACATGCTATGACTAGTATTGAACTTATAAGACTTCGAATTGTATTACATGATAAACATGGATTAGAAATGATACCTTAGATATTGATAACAGTTTCTATATTTTGTGGCTCATAAGTGTTTTCCATTTATTTACAGATTGTGAATTGCGTTAAGGGATGTTGTTCTTTGCTCTGTCGACTTTTGATGTTGACAATTCATCTACGGTTTAACAAAGGGACTTTTATTGACACGTTAGTAGTTTGAAATAACATAATGTATACGAAATAATATATAGAGAAATAAGTCAGTAAAATAGCAGAAAATGTACAAGCAGTTTAATGCAATGTTTTTGTAGCATAATTTACAACAGCAATCCAGACATTATATCACTTCAAACTATTGAAAATGTCATAAAAGCCACTTTTCCTAACTTTAAATGGGTAAAAGTTGTTGGAAGAAAGATCCAGGACCCACAATGTAATTCAAAAGCATAAATATATATGGGGAAAAATAAAAGCATGAATCACAACAAAAGAAATCTGCTAATTTACTGATTTTTTTTTTACAGTTACACTCTCAGAAATAAAGGTACAAGAGCTGTCACTGGGGTGGTACCTTTTCAAAAGGGACACATTTGTACTTAAAGGGCTCATAATGGTACCTCGAAAGTATATATTAGTACCTAAAAATTTTAAAATGAACACTTTTGTACTTTTTAGGTACTAATATGTACTCTTGAGGTATTAATATGGACCTTTTAGCCACAAATTTGTAACTTTTGAGAAGGTACCACCCCAGTGACAGATCTTGTACCTTTATTTCTGAGAGTATAATAACAAAAACAGTGACATCAGGTGGAAAAAAAGAAAATACTTGCAGAAATTATTTTAATATCCTGTAAAACACTTATATTTTAAATTGATTCCAGAAAATTATTCGAGGTATCAGTGTTATTCATTAAATTATATAAGTTTAGAGGCCTCTTCAGCGTGTTTGTTATAAAAAATTGCAATACAAATTTGAAAAGGGAAAACATTTTACATATAAATTTTTTTACAATAATCATTTTATTATCATTAAACCTGAACATGCAAAATATATAAGGTATATTTCATACATGAATCAGCAATAGTGATAAGATTTGATACTCATTCAAATGTCAAGGTGTGAGAGTCGCTGCTGCCACAGATGTAAGTGGATATGAGAATCTTGAAGGCCTTCTGAAAGCGAGGATAGAAGAAACCATAGATCAGTGGGTTACAGGTGGAGTTAAAGTATCCGAACCAAACCAAAGCATCAAAAACATCACCGGGAGTTGAGAAGTTGAGGAAAGGATCAACAGCGGTGGCGGTAAAAAAAGGCAGCCAGCAGAGATAGAAAACCCCCATGACAATGGCCAGAGTTTTAGCTGCTTTTCTTTCTCTGTGTGAAGAGGTTTGGAAATGACTGCCTGCAGTAGCAGCAGCGGACACTTTCTCAGACATAACTTTTGCATGCCTTTTCACAACATTGAAGATGCTCATGTACAGAGAGCTCATAATAGTTCCTGGGATTAGAAATACAAAAAGTGCACAAATTAATCCCCATTCTTTGTTAAAGAACAGAACACATCCACCAAAACAAGAAATCTGCAATATGAGTTCCTCCAAACCCACATTGTTTACACCAGTAAACACGACAGAAAAGCTGTACACAAATGAAAACAGCCATGTGAATGTGATAAACCCAGCCACAGTGGTGTTTGTGACTCTCATTTTGTACCTTAAAGGATCAGAAATTGCCCAAAACCTGTCGATAGCTATTAAACTGAGGTGCAATATGGAGGAGATGCTGAAAGTCATGTCCAAACTTGAATGAACTTTACACACAACAGTTCCCAGATACCAGCAGCCTTCAACAGATCGCACCATGCTGTACGGCATGACCAAAGAACCCAGCAGACAATCACAAGCTGCAAGAGACTGAACGATCAGATGAGTTGGAGACTGAAGCTGTTTGAAGTGAGAGATGGAGATGATGACCAACAGGTTTCCAAAAACTGTGGTGAGGATCATCAACACCATGACAGCATACATCGCCACTTTAAGTGCAGGGAGACGCTGAGTTCTGGGACAGGAGTCCGGCAGGAGTGGATAACAGAGAAGCACATTCTCAGAGTAAATATCAGTGTCATTTAAAATCATCACGTCAACCCAAGACAATGCAGGATTAAAACACAATATTCGCTGTGCAAATAAAAAAAGCCACTCAAATATTGAACAAATTCCAACCAGAACTATTTTGTAAATAATGGTTTGGTAAACCCAAATATCCCAAGAAAGATGAATATAAATACAGTACATGCCCACTCAATTTACTTGTTAAATGAACTCAGAGCAACTCAGTCTTGTCCGTATATACTCTCAGATTGGAGGTAACCTCCTTACATCTGTCAACGTAACCCATAGTCACAAAACACAGTATGAACTCAGGAGATTAAAATGAGGAGGGGGGGGGGGTGGACTACTTCCCTATGCTTTAATACTGATTGACAAGGTTGTCCGGTGAAGCACCAGAAATAAATGAATAATGAACAAGAACATGATTAATAAAAACATACACTCACCGGCCACTTTATTAGGTACACCTTACCCTTTTGCCTTCAGAACTGCCTTAAACCTTCTTGGCGTAGATTTAACAAGGTACTGGAAATATTCCTCAGAGATTCTGGTCTATATTGACATGATAGCATCATGCAGTTGCTGCAGATTTGTCGGCTGCAAATCCATGATGCGAATCTCCCGTTGCACCACATCCCAAAGGTGCTCTACTGGATTGAGCTCTGGTGACTGTGGAGGCCATTTGAGTACAGTGAACTCATTGTCATGTTCGAGAAATCAATCTGAGATGATTTAGGCTTTATGACATGGTGCGATATCCTGCTGGGAGTAGCCATCAGAAGATTGGTACACTTTGATCATAAAGTAATGGACATAGTCAGCAACAATACTCAGGTAGGCTGCAGCGTTAACACGATGATCCATTGGTACTAATGGGAACAAAGTGTGCCAAGAAAATATCCCCCACACCATTACACCACCACCACCAGCCTGATACGTTAATACAGGGCAGGATGGATCCATGCTTTCATGTTGTTGATGCCAAATTCTGGCCCTACTATTCGAATGTCACAGCAGAAATCAAGACTCATTAGATCAGGCAACGGTTTTCCAATCTTCTATTGTCCAATTTTGGTGAGCCTGTGCAAATTATAGCCCCAGTTTCCTGTTCTTAGCTGACAGGAGCAGCACCCAGGAGCGGTTTTCTGCTGCTGTAGCCCATCCGCTTCAAGGTTGGATTTGTTGTGCATTGAGAAATGCTCTTCTGCTACCTCGGTTGTAACGAGTGGTTGACATCAACAAGGCATTTGCACCCACGGAATATTTTCTTGTTTTCAGACTATTCTATAACAACCCTACAGATGGTTGTGCGTGAAAATCCCAGTAGATCAGTAGTTTCTAAAATACTCCGACCAGCTTGTCTAGCACCAACAACCATGCCACGCTCAAAGTCACTTAAATCACCTCTCTTCTCCATTGTGATGCTCGATTTAAACTGCATCAGAACGTCTTGACCATGTCTACAAGCATTGAGTTGCTGCCATGCTGCCATTAACGAGCAGTTGGACAGGTGTACCTAATAAAACGTGAGTGTATTTTAATGCTTTATGTAAATGTACAACATGCTCTACATGTGCTCCTTCTGTATATGGAAGAAAAGCGTTATAGCAGCAAGCAATTAGTGAGAATTTTTGTGAGAATGCAAATTAATTTAAATATATATCTTACAAAGATTTTTATCCTGGTATATTTTAAGTTATTTTCCGTCCTTCATTAAGGGCAAAAAGAAGTCTGAAAACACTGCGACACCACTGCACTGCAGTTGGTGGGGTTGTAAATACCCCTAAACACAACAATAATGGAAGAGATGTGTTAATGTCTGGCAAACAGACATCTCTAAAAGAATTATTACATCTTTACATTGTGCTCTATTTGCTGCGGAAAAACACCATATGGTACCAAATGTATACAAGGCACAAGTTTCTGCAGATTTTGTGAGAATCAGACGTTTAGAAACAAAACTAAAGACACTAACCCAGGCTCATTCTAAAAATCTAGTCTCGTGGACGATTCTGGAGACTGTGAATTATGTAGCTGGAGGTACGTATGGCTGCATTTAATTTTTTAGGCTAAGGATGCGTGGTGGTATGACGCCGTTCTTTTTCGTGCTTACTGGCTGACCACGTACCTCCATGTGGAGGGCTTTTCTGCCACAACAAGTTTATCCAGTTAGCTCGTCGTGTACGCCGGTACGTCTTTCTTCAGAAAAAAAAATAAGTTGTAGAAAATACTATGGGGTAATAATTTTGCCTGTATATTTGACAAAAGCTGATGTGAAATTTACATTTAGGCTATAATCTAGGCATTTATATAAATGTACAATGCAAAAGAAATACATCGAGGAAAAAATTACAGGTAATGAAAATAATGCCAACAATAATGTGAATATTGCTGTTTAAAATGCTGTATATGTTTAGTTTTCAAATAAAGCCTGATGTAATTGTCATGGCATACTAACTAAATATACAGTGCACACGAAACATTATATGCGTCATTTTCTTCTTCCGACTTTAAAACCCAACTAAAACTCATATTAAAATAGGAAACTGTCAATCAATAATTTGCAGCAATCAATAACAACATTAGATTTTTTTTTACAAATATCCCTCGTATACAACACACACACCTTAGTTATGATGTAATGTTTATGTTTAGAGTACAACTGTACGCAGGAGATTTATTATCTTTTCACGCCTTTAATGCCTGTGTAACTCTCAAAGGTGGCCGGCTCGCACTATTGATGTCATTCAGTTTTATTATGAAATAAGTCCCAGAGGGTTTTACTGTCACATCTCACATCAAATCAGTTCATTTTTCTCAGACATAGACAAATGCATGATATTGTATTGGATCTATAATTTTACGACAAGGATTTGATATGATAACTTGGTCCCACTTTATATTAAGTGTCCTTAACTAATATGTACTTACACTGAACTTAATAATTTATTACAATGTACTTGTTGTGTAAATACATGTTTTTACAGTGTACTTGATTAAATATGCATGTAATTACGTTTACGATTAATTTCTGTAAATGTATTTCAATTACACTGTACACCCTTACACTACAACCTACACTGATCAATTACACTGTATCCCACCCTTAAACCTACCCATACCACTAAACCTGACACTGACCCTACCTGTATCCCACCCAAAGAGCACCTAAAGTGTTTTGCAATACATTATGAACACAGTAAGTACATTGTATTTATTTTTTGGATGCAAGTACAAAGATATATCATAGATATATACACCAGATGTTGCCTCTGCTATTGTTGTCTGTTGAAAGGAATGCATCAAAAGAGACGCCATTTTGGTACAGGTAGTACTCCTTTGAGATGAATGTGGGACCAAGGTGCAGTGGCGGACTGGCTATCTGGAGCAATATATATATATATATTATACAGTTAAATCCATAAATATTTGGGCATCGACACAATTCTAACATTTTTGGCTCTATACACTAACACAATCGATTTGAATTATAACAAAGAAAAGCGAGATGTGCTTTAACTGCAGACTGTCAGCTTTAATTTGAGGGTATTTACATCCAAATCAAGGTAAGAGCTGTAGAAATAAAGCTGCGGTCACATTAGAGTTTGAGCATGCGATATTCTGTCGTGCGGCACTGCGAGAAGGGGCGGGATTAAACAAGCTTATTAGACATTTTAAAAAGCGAGCGATTGATTCAAGTTTTAAATTTCTGTCCAGAGAGGTCATGTTTTGATCCTCGATTGGTCTCACGCAGTCAAGTGATGCGATTTGGCAGATCAGAGTTTACCAAGCTTGAACTACACTGCAGCAAAACCTGACGCATGACCCTGCGTTTCCGGTCTGTTGCATTCACGTACGTATGAATGGAAGTCCATGGGAGGAAAAGCCCAGTGTGACCGCAGCTTCACACCAGTTTCAATAGGTGCCTCCAACTTGTTAAGGGTCCAAAAGTAGTTAGACAGAATAATGATCATAAATCAAACTTTCACTTTTTAGTTTCAAATTCTTTGCAGTCAATTACAGCCTGAAGTCTGGAACGCATAGACATCAACAGACGTCGGGTTTCATTCCTGGTGGTGCTCTGCCAGGCCTTTACAGCAACTGTCTTCAGTTCCTACTTGTTTTTGGAGCATTTCCCTTGATATGCATGCTCAATCAGGTTCGGATCAAGTGATTGACTTGGCCATTGGATAACATTCCACTTCTTTCCTTTCACTCTTTGGTTGCTTTTGCAGTGTGCTTTGGGTCATTCTCCATCTGCACTGTGAAGCACTGTCCAATAAGTTCTGAAGAATTTGGCCTAATATGAGCAGATATTGCAACCCGGGCTCATTGTGGAAACGTAGCCCCGCGGACGTTTCTGCGGACCGCGATTTACGTCCCGGGAGGTACGTATTTGAGCGTTTTTTTTGTTTTCGCGGATCCGTGAGAGGCCGCTGTGTGCGCTTTTTCGCGTCTCAGGCGCCTCTCAGGAGCACGCGGCGTTCGCGCCCGCGCTGTTCTCACGCGAAAAGCCGCCGGATCGAAAAAAAAAAAAGCAAAAGCACTCGTCTTCGATTTCGACTGCGTTTTCGGATCCCGCCGCGTTCTCGCCCTTATTTTTCGGATTCCGTTTTTCGTCTTACCTGATTTCCGGAACCTGCTGTTCCCCGGACTCGATCCCGGTCGTCGTCCACCGTGGCCGGCTCCGGCTCCTCCTCCGGGGCCTCCGCTCCGCCGACGCAACGCTGTGAGCTAAGCGGATTGCATCGGGAAAGCCCTCCACTCTGAGGCGAGCCGTCGGCCGGCGAGCGCGAAGAGGAGGGGCGGAGCGGCGCCACACCGCCCCGCAGCGTTCACTCGCAAAAAACCAAACGCAGCCTTTACGTACCTCCGGCCACGTAAATCGCGGTCTCCAGAAACGTCCGCGGGGCTACGTTTCCAGAATGAGCTTGGGTTGAGATATTGCCTGAAACAGTTCAGAATTCATCCTGCTGCTTTTGTCAGCAGATACATCATCAATAAATACAAGAGAAACAGTTCCAC